CCAGATCTAGGTATATGAAGGCACAGATGTAGGAAGGTGGACAGGTGTGAGGGGTACTTGTAGAAGCTCTCTTCTGACTGCTTCCATTTTTTCACTGAAATGGGAAGCAAGTTCATCAGCTGCAAGATTGGGGAAGGAGGTACAGGAAGTTTAGGGAGCCAAGACACAACACTGCCCTTTAGAAAAGGTGGACAATGAATGGGCAGGGGAAGTGGACATGTTTCTGGGCTGCATCAAGGGCTCACTTGAGGTAAGTAGTCAAGAACTGACTATGAAACCCATAGGCCTGAATGTGTGTTCTTCCTGGGGCCACATTCAGGGGTGGAATAGGGAGAAAGTTGAATTTAGCAGACTGTGGTCTTGCCACAAGCAACAAAAAGGCATATGGGTGATAAAAATGATCACAGGACTGGAGCAGAGTAAGAAGACAGAGGGATTCAAGCAACAAATATCCATTCCAACAGATTAGTTTCAAATGTTTTGAACATGATGAACTGCAAAAGGGGAAAAATAAGGTGAGCTCTATCATACAAGATAATGACTCACTTTGTTTAGCAAATACTTGAGTACTCACTGAAATACATAGAACAATTGTTTCTAAGTGAAACCAGGTCACCTGCACTTCCTAAATCAGCTCAGTGTTTGGGACTGCAGTCTCTCTGGTGGAGTTACCCTCCACCAGTGAAGCCAAACACTGGGGAAGCCACACTGCACACATGAGAAATCAGAGGACTCAAAAAACCTTGAAGTGACTTGTAGTCTTTACTGACCAGTTTGTGTATTTGTCTCACAGTTGTTGAGGTGCTTATGGGCATACCTGGGGGTGACAGGCCTCACAAATCCAACTGAACAGACTGAAGTGGCAGGCCCAACTGTGGCCATCTCGGGCACTATCCAAGACTCTGGTGGTTCCAAGGGAAATTCATCAACAGTTGTTTCCGTAGGTTCTTGGTTCCTGCTTTGGGGGATTTCATTTAGAAACCACAAAAGATTAAAAAGTACCCATTTCCTCACTGGCATGCATACAAAAATAGTACAAGAGACCATGGCACTCTTATGGGAAAAAACATGTAGTCTTTGTGCACATGGGCCTCCTAAAATCACTTAGGTGTCAGAAGACTGAGCATGAGCCCAGCCCTGCCACTCACCAGCAGAATGGTATCAGGCAAGGCACTCAATATCTTTGGCTTCAACTTCCTCGGCTGAAAAAGAGATAGCAATATTTGCTGTGGTTACCTCATAGGAATGTATGTGAAAGTGCTTTGTAAACCATATTGCACTTCATTAATTATAGAGACTGTAACTACACCTCAAGGGCAGCAGGGAGTGGAACAAAAGTCTCCCTCCTTGTCAAAATGGAGAAAAGCAAGAAGAGTTTTTCACTAAAGGCAGAACCCCGTGTTGCATGCAGCGGAGGCACAGGAGCTTCAGTTCTACATGGAGTAAACATGTGGGAACTAGACCAAAGCTTGCACTTGGTGAATGTACCCTTATTAGCCAGGGCAGACAGAAAGCTGGAGGGAGAGCAAAGCATTCCCTAGAGACACAAACCAAAAACACAGTATAATTTTAGGCCCAATTTTTGGCAGGCTTGAACTTGGAGCAGTTTGTAAACAGGTGGGATATACTTATGACTGAGCATCCGGGACTCATGATGACTGACTCTTACTACCTCCATTCTCTCACCTGAAAGTTGGGGTAACATTTAGATCCAGAGGGGAAAGTGGGGGTGTCTAGTCCAACCCATGCATTCCATCAAGGAGGATACTGAGGCTTGGGAGGTGAACTGACTAGTTCAAGAGTACACAGCTAGTGAGTAGCCAAGGGAGGACTAGAACCCAAATTATGCCCCTCAGATTAGTGCACCTTCACACACCTGTTTCTTTCACAGAGATAGCTGAAGGGATTGCTTTCATACATAAGTATGAAAGTATTCTTAGCAGAAAGTATTCTGCTAGCTTCAGAGGAAGAAGCCAGGGAAAAGGACAGCGGCAGCCTTCAACCATGTCCCACTCAGCGCTTAAAAGATGCCCTCCCAACGGTTTTAAGTGGTTCTCAAGCCTGATATGATGGTGACAAAGATCAGTCCAGAGGCACAGGGGCGGAGAGGCGGGTCAGGGGGATGTGAATAAATAAATGGCACTGACAATGAAAACCAAGAAGGAAATCGTACAGGTACTCTTTGTAATGGAGGGCCCCAGCACCTTAAGGGACCACAGTTCTGGAAGCACAGCACCAGGTTCATGGGTTTAGTGCTCTGAGGTCACCGTTTTTGGAATTCTTAATAGCTTACGAACAAAAGGCCTAGCACTTTTTCTTTTGCATTGTGTCCCTCAAATTTTGTGTCTGCTCCTGCTTCACACACACCCCCATCCATAAAGGGGATGACTTGTCTACACCACCACCCCAACCCTACCCCACTCGAGATCAAAGAAAAGTCCTGCAGTGTTAGACCCTCTCTGGAGAAGGCCGTGGAAAAGGTCAGGGGGGCCTACAGTCTGGGCCAAGAGGCCGACTCACCAAGCGGCCTTTTTCAACCCTGGCAAAATAAATGCCGATATAAAGTGACCGCCACCTCCTCAGCCCACCTCGGACCCCACGCTGCCTGAATCTTTGGCTCCCAATAGGGTTCCTGTCCGCCCTCCAAACCTCCCGAAGCGGCTCAGTGTGCCCGTTGGGAAAATGGGGAAAGTGCGGACCCCTCACCAGCTGAGGGAAGCTGCCGGAAGGGTCTGTGCCCCGGCCAAGGTCCGCTTCCGCCCGCCAGGACAGCCTCGCCAACGCCCCGGCCGAGGGAAAGTTTGGGGATGGATGATTAGCTGGGCAGCGTTCTCCGCCGCTGGGAAACCTGGTCGACCGGAAAGCAAATTCGGCGCGGGGAGAATCCGAAACATTGGAGGTGGGGCCGAATCTTGGGAGCAGGGCGGAGCCACGGCGGGGGCGGGGCTACGACGGGTAGGCAGACGCTGTCGCTGAGCCGAGACTATGACTTCATGAATGAGAGGGCTGCCGCCAGCGGAGGTTCCATAGTGTAGTGGTTATCACGTCTGCTTTACACGCAGAAGGTCCTGGGTTCGAGCCCCAGTGGAACCACAGCGAGGAAGCTTTTTCTTCGCCTTCTTTTTCAATATCTGTTGAGGGGTCCGGGGAAAAAGTTGAAAAGCAAAAACGAGGTGCTTTCTTTTCCTCTCCCTAAAAAAATTTTATTTTATTATTATTATTTTTAATGCTTTTATCACAGAAGCGTCATGACAGATACCCAGCTTCTCCCATCCCGGCAGCCATCGCCCCACCTGAAAAGCAGCAGAGGTGGCGGCCTGACAGTGTCGCAGTCTGAAGGGCATCCCCAGCCTGCTGGGGCCTACCCCCACCTTTCCTCGAATGCTCCAGGGTGGCCTCGGAAAACTGGGCGCTGGAGGGAAGCAAGACCACCCGAAAGCCAGGACAGGCCCCAAAGCTTTCCAAATAAAATGTTGGCAATACCACAGTTCTTTGAAGTTCAAATACTAAAGGTTTATTACTTATTACTATTAAAGGTTTCATTTTTCATTAAACTTTAAAATACAGAACGGCAAAATAGTCTTTTTCTTATTAAAAAAAAAACTGAAATAAAATACTCCTTTTTACTCCTTTTAAATTCAACACTAGAGTTTGTTGAATAGACCTTCGTCTGTTTAATGAATTTATACACAGTACAGAGTAAATGTTAGGCTTGTAGACACCCTATAGATGCTGTTTGAACGTGTCTCTGGTTCTCTTTTGTTCTTCTTTATTATTTCATTATACTTTCATTTTAAGGAGTTATTATTATCTTTTTAATGTTAGCCCTTTTCTTCATTGACAGGAGGAATGAAGGAAAGGTGGCTGGGGTCCTGGGGTCCTGACATAGGACAGTGGTGGCCAAGAACTAAAATGGGAAAGGGAAATAGTCTTTTTCGCTGCATTCCACACAGTTTTGCTCATACAGTATGTATATTTGTGTCCTTTTCTAACTGGAGAGTATGACACATGATTGTTCCTGTTATTACAATCACTTCATTAACTTTTAACTTTATTTTTTACCACCTTTACCATTTTAAGTGTACAATTCAGTAATATGAATTATATTCACACTGTTGTAAAAAACGATCTCCAGAACTTTATATATATATAAAGATCTCCAGAACTTTATATATATATAAAGATCTCCAGAACTATATATATATATAAAGATCTCCAGAAATATATATATATATATATATATATATATATATATATATATATATATATATATAAAATGCCATTTAAGTCTCAAACTAATCCTATGAAGCAGGCATTATCATTATCTTACAGGTCTGAAGGTCAAAGCACAGACCTTAAGTAACTTGTTCAACATAACAAGTGGTTGAGCTGGGATTTGCATCCAGTCTGGCTTGGGAATCTGCTCTTAACCATTCCTGTTACTCTGAACCCCCAACCTTAGCCACACAGATCCTTTCCAATTTTTTTTGTTATTACAAATAACACAGCAATGTACATCTTTCTGTGTAACTGTTCCCCTCTCCTGAATTTAGTATTTTCCCACGTGAGAATAGGTATGATGAACCTGATGCCAAGTTGCTTTCTCAGAGGGGAATCCATGTCATCTTCACAGAACTGGAGGAAGTCAGTGCTTACTTGGCAGGAAATTGCTCAAGGTCACCCACCAAAATGATGGCAGAGAAAGAATTAAGACCTGGGTCTTCTGATTCTAGTTTCCATTTCTCTCCACTGCTTCCCTTACATTTAAAGACAGAATAAAACCAATATTCTCTTTTGCTAACCCAACTTCACTCGACATTAGATTCTTCTCTAAGACTTCCTTGTTGAGGCAGGTAATATGTGGGTTAACTTGGTGGGGCTCAGCCAAAGCCCTAAGAACTAAATGCATAAGGTGCTTAATGAGGCTAGTGCTTAAGTTAAGCTCCTGCTACTGGGGAAGCTCTCCACTTGGATAACATAGAGCTGCGGCCAAGGACAAGGGGAGAATGCCACACAAGACAGAAGGCTTCTTGTTTTTACTTCTGTTTGGCTATGAAGGTATGTACATGCTAGCCAACCATTAGCACTCATTAAATACTTAATAAATTGAATCACTGATACAGCTAATTAATAGAAATGCAACCCGAATAATTATAATACTATTAGTTAGCAAGGCATTATTAATTAATATGTGTTATTTATGAACAACAGTTGTCTTTGTGTGGATATGATTCTCTTTGTCTCACCACCTGGCTTTCTGATCCTGTAAGGAGCCTTCTGAAATTCAAATGATGCTTAAAATGGGTCAGGAAAGGTCTCAGAAATTATATAATATAGCTCTAAATTGCAACAGTTAGTAGGAAAGTGTGGCATATTCCTGACAATTTTTAGGAGACAAAGTTAGAGTGATTGCAGAGTTTAATCTTCCAAACCAGGATGCTGTTGAGAGTAGAGGTTTCTATTAATAATTCTGCTGGGATAACAGGTGTAAACCAGGACTGACCCAAGGAAAGCAAGACATGAGATAGCCCTAGTTTAAACATGGATTAACATAACAGGCTGAGTATCACTGGACTCTAATAGGAAGAATAATCCAATTGACAGTCAGAAACCTCTGAAGACTCAATACACTCAATTATTTTTAAATTTCTAAATATGGCCCTGGCGGGAATGATACGCTTAAATAAGGAGAACTAAGGCAAATCTCTCAAATGTCATCTAATTCAACTTTGAAATATTCAATATTTAAAATAATACTCTTTCATGTCTCTCTCAACTCTCAAGGACCCATCAGCTCAGAATTTATTTTTAGGTTCATTCTGAACAAAAGATCTTCTTTCTGGCCATTGGGTATTTCTGTGTGTAACAGAAAATAGAAATAGAGGGCAGGGAGGAGGAGGCCTCTCCACTTTGTAAATGATCTGGTAGGCAGACATGACAAAACTCACACAGACGCTGAATTCCTGGTTTAAATTATTCTCCTCTCTAGCTTCTCATGTTTTATTGGTAGAGTACTTGCTTTCATGATTTCCCAATCTGATGCCTTTTGTTATGTAGTCACATCTGTTAGTATTTGGCAAGACTTGTAAAGATATAATCCCAATGTCATTTCACAAACCCAAATACGTTTCTAAGTAGAGATCATTCAGACTAATTGTCTGTTTTTTTTTCCCCCTTGCAATTAAAAGTCAGCAACTCGTCCCAGTAACTCGGCAATTTAAGATGCTTTTGTGGTTCTACTGTTTGCCTTTTTGCCCCTTCCTCAGCAAGAAAATCTACAGCCTTTCAAGGCTTAGATCCCAACACCCCTGGTTCTCAGATATCCACAGGGCTCACCCTCAGATTTCTCTCTGTGAACCTACCCTTGAGTACCTGCTATGGGTCAAACACATGCTAAGTCTAACAACAGTGCTCTGTGACCACCCCCCCCAAATGCAAAGAAACCCTATAAAAGTTTACCAGCTCATTTTTAAATTAGACCCATTCATTTGAGGAATAAAAGACATGCTGTCAGGAGGCACAGAGCACTGCACTATTTTCTGTTCTATTGCTTACCAATCTTTGTGCATGGCTGGGAAGCTCCAGAAATTTATAAATAGAGAACCCCATCTGTCCAGGTGGAATGGAACATGGTCCAGTTGGGTAGCCTTGAGAAGCTTAATTTATCTTATCCACTTAACCAAGGCTCTCCACCTTCACACAGCATGGAAGGAAAGAAGCCAGCCCCAAATGGCCAGTGTTTTACTCTGAACTAGAGGGATGCTCCAGGAGACAAAGAAAATATATAGGGTGCAATTACTGCACTGAATCAGCTTCCAATTCAGATGGAGGAATAAGGCACAATGCACATGGGAAAGATGTTTTCTATTGCACATTGGGAATCTAAAGACAAAGGTTCTTTGTCTGATTTACTCTTTGCTGTTTCTATTCCACGGTGGCAGTGGCTCTTTTCCACAGTGAAATAAGGTAAATGGATTGACTTCACTTATGCATTAGATGAAGGTTTATTTAGGAATGCACTAATCATCAGAGTAAAGCTCTACTTATGTCTTATAACTGAAGCAGGCTTGTATTTACCTTACGCTGTACATTTTGGATTCAATGCCAATGAGGAGTTAAAAGAATATCCAGCTTATTAAATTATATCTGTCAATTACTTGGTCATGCTTATTATAGAAAAACAAAAAAAAATTACCAAGCTTCATCTTACAGGTGATTTTTCTCTTTGCTGGTGTGTTAACCACCAGGGACAACAGATCGGGTTTTTTTAAAGCAGTTTTCTTGAGATGTAATTTACATGCCATTAAATTCACCCATTTAAAGTATGCAATTCAGTGGTTTTTAGTATATTTACAGATTTGTGGAGCACGCAATCTAACTATGGAGCATTTTCATCATCCCCAAAAGAATCCGGTAGACATTAAGTACTCACTCCCCCTTCCCCCCTCCCCCAGGCCCCCTCCCCCAATGATCAACCTTCTGTCTCTGTAGATTTGCCTATTTAGGATATTTCATTTAAATAAAATCACACAACATATGGTCTTTTGTCTGTCACATAGCATGTTTTTGAGGGTCATTTGTGTTGAAGCAGGTACAAACAACATTTACCCATGAATATGTCTGTTGCCTAAAATAGTAACACTTACTTACACACCAGAAGCAATTTCTTTCTTCTTCACTGAGAGGGACTGTATATCAGCCTGATGTTTTTTCTCCCATGTCTTATTCTTATTTCCAAAGTAGATTAGAAACTGGTTACAGTTTTATCATTCATAATTTTATGCTTTTCTCCCCAGCTTCATCTGTTTCCATGGGAAGGAAAGTTCTGTATTTAGTGATATCCACTCACAGAGACTAAAATAATCTTTCCTATGTACATCTGATGCATACCTTTCCTCTAGGACTTGCGAGGCACATTTCAAGAAATAAGTATGCCTTGAATTTCCTTGCTGTGGAAACAAGGATTTCCTCATGGAGTCACCCTTTGGGCTGAATGACCCCTTATGGCATGACTGAAAAATTGATGAGTGGCAGACATCTCAGATGCTCTAGTGGAAACTCGTAATCTGTAGAGGAATCTCAAAAACAACCCCAGGGGGGAGAAAAATACAAAACCACATACATCATATGAATCTTTTATTCTTTTTTCCTTTAAAGGCTGGTATTATAAGATGTAGTCAAACATGGTTTTGCTTTTGTTTGACAGCTTTTTTTTGGTGATTAATCATTTTGGGGATTACAGCAGCCACATTGCTGCTCCCTTGCTGACAGCTTTTCCTGTAAAATGCTTGTTGTTCTCTCTCTGCTCATTTCCATAAGGATCTGGTGCCTCAGAACCTCAGGCTGCATGCAGACAAATGCTTTCTGAGGAGGGGAGCCATGGAGATGGAAAACTCCAGAAATCTACTCAACCTGTGAGTGAACACAGGAAGTGGCTCTAAAACCAGGCTACCTCTTAGGTCGCTTCCTCTCCACAGGTAGACAGTGGCAGGACCTCCCCAACCTTTTCTTTTTACCTTCTGCTTTGTTTCTGCAGAATATGGGGCCCCTGTAGGGCCTGTCCTGACACCCAGGTAATGCAAAGGCCACTGGAGAGGTCCTGAGGTTCATTCGAACTCTGGATTTGCCCAGTTGCAGTTGTATAGACCCTCTTCAGGGGCAAACACAGCCTCTGGACAAAATTGATTTGGTTATTAAGGACTTGCTGTCAGTGACTGCTCACCTTACCTCTGGTCCTCTCAAAGAGGGTGTCGGCACAATTGAGTTTACCTAACTGACAAGGCCTTTCTGCATTTTGGCCATCCGCAGCTTCTCTTGAAGACGAGTGTGTTGCTGAATGCCTCCTGGATTAACAATCCCCAGATCAACTAGATGTCAATTGCTTATCTGCTGTGCAGTACATGGGAAGTAGCTGAGGGACTGAGGTTATGGGTTCATGTACACATTAAATTCGAGGAGCATAGGGTGCCACCAAGCCTAGTTGAACTTTCCCTTGAGCTTCAGAAGCTTCCAGCCAGCTGCCCACTCAACCTCAACACTTGGGTGTCTCATTGGGTGTACCCCATTACCTTCAAATCTCTGCTCCTCGAACCGTTTCCTCCCCCAGTAAATGGTGGCTCTACTCTCTCAGTCACTCAGGCCTTGGAGAGCTCATTTTTTGATGTCCGCATCATTTGTCTGCAAATCCTGTTGGCACCATCTTCCAAAGACAGTCAGAATCCAGCCACTTCTTATTGCTTACACTGCCACCACCCTAGGCCATGCCACCGTCATCTCTCCCTTGGATGACATGCCTAGAACCCAACCACCTCAGGGTCTTTGTAGTTCATTCGCTCATTCATTAGTCTCCCACTTCCCCACCTTAGACTATAAATTCTATGAGGGCAGGTGTTTTTCCCTGTTTTGTTTACTTATATCTCCAGCACCTGAAGCTGGGCCTGGACTATAGTAGATGCTCAATGAATATTTTAAAAAAATGAATGAATACTTTGGGACCAGCCATTATCGGCTATCTTTTATATCAATTTGTATAATTGTATAGGTGCTTAGATAATCCTGTGGACAGGAATGAGGCGGGACACAAACGCCACAGCAAGTAATGAGTTCTACATGTGAGACAGAAGAAGTCCTCTTCATAAGGGAAAGGATAAGCAGCCAGAAAAGTGGGAGGGGGAGGGCATTTGATGCCAAGAAATCATATGGACAAAGGCATGGAGGCAGGGAAAAGCCTGGCACATTTGATGAACTACAGGAAGTACACAGTGCAAAAGATAAATATGGAAAGGTAGGCTGGAGAGAGATCAGAGTCCCCTTTAAATAGCACATTGTTATACCTATTTAAAAAATGAGGAAATAGAGAGGTGCAGTCATACAAGTAAGAAACATCAGAGGTGGAACTCAGACCCTGGCAGAGGGGACCCACCAAAAGGTTTGGCAGGAAAGTGACACAGTCAGTTTGCATTCCATTTCATTGGTGGCATGGGGGATGGATGAGGCAAGGTCTCTTTTTAGCAAGGAGAGAATCCAGGGGAGAGAGGGTGGAGTCTAAAATAAGAAGTGGTAGTGGGGTGGAGAGGAAAGAAGGCCCCTAGTAGACACTGGATGATGGGAGGTTAGGAAAAAGAGGCAACTAGGAGGAGTCCCAGGTTTCTGGATGAGGTAATAGGTAGATGGTGGAGCCATTCAGTAGAATAAGAAATAGAGAAAGAACAATCTGAGAAAAGATAACAAGTTTGATTTTTAAACAAACTTTTTGTGATGTATAACCTACATATATTTATTTAAGTATAATAGACATACAGAGGAGTATAGATAAGTGTACAACTCAATGAATTTTCACCATGAAACACACACAAGTAACCAGCACTCACATCAAATAATAGGATGCCATCAGACACAATTCTCTGGGCTTCCTCTGTGCCACTCCCCACCCAAGTATGACCAGGACCTTATGTCTAGTGGCATAGATTACTTTGGCTTGTTTTTATACATGGTAAATGGATTCGTTTGGTATGTCTGTTTTAGTATCTGACTTTGCACTCAACATTGCGAGACACAGCATACTGTAGAACTGTAAATCATCCCTTTCATTGCAATATAGTGTTCCACTGTGTGAGTCTACCACAGGTATCCATTCTACTCTTTTATAATTTTTATCTGATTTGAGAGAAGAAGAGGAAGAAGAAGAACAAGAAGAACAAGAAGAAGAAACATCAATTTGATGTTCCCTTATTTATGAATTCATTGGTTGATTCTTGTATGTGTTCCGATGGGGAAACCAAACCCACGGCCTTGGCATATAGGGACAACATTCTAACCAGCTGAGCTACCTGGCCAGGGACATTCTACTTTTGATGGGCATATGAGTGTTTCCAGTTTGGAGTTACTACAAATACTGCTGTTTTGAATAACCTAGTACATTTTTGGTTTTTTGGAGAACATATGTATATGTTTCTGGTGGGTAAATAGTCAGGAGTGGAATTGTTGGTTCATAGGGCACATATATGTCCAGCCTTGGTATAAATTGCCAATCAGTTTCTCAAATTGGTTATACCAATTTATATCCCCACTGGCACCATACGAGAATTCAGGCTGCCCAAGACCTTGCTGACACTTGGTTGGGGCCAGTTTTACATAGTAAGAGACATTTACATAGAGATGGCCAGTAATCTGTTCAAAGCAAGTGTTGGAATCTTGGGTTTAGCAACATTTATTAAGAGGGAGAGGAAGCAGACCTCTCAAGAGAGACCGAGGAGGATTATTCAGAGTGGAGGGAGAACCAAGTGAGCAGCATAACGGAAGTTAAAGAAACATGGAAGGGACTGACAGCACCCAACATGGCACCATGAAGACATAGTTCAGTGTTGGAAAGAGTCCATTGGATGTGAAAGTAAGAAGTCATTGGTAATTTACTTTGCCAGCACAGGGCTTGGCCTCCTACTAAGATGCTGCTCCCCAACCTTCATTGCTACCTGGGAGGGTCAATTCTTCCCATAGTGGGTAGATTAAGGAGTATGGGAATGAATAACCAATGGAAGAGGGCTCAGGAGAGACAGAAGTTGGTGCCCACAGGTAAGGGGTGGCCCTGAACCTGCCCAGGCTGGAAGATATGACTCCCTGACTCCCACTGCAGCCGATCCATAACCCAGCAGAGTAGTCACCATGCGCATCATCCTGTGGTCTCTTTTCCTGGGTCCTCAAGCCACTGTGGGCAGAGAGTCATGCTTCCATTTCAGAAGGCCCAGGCCCTTGTACAGTGCCAGGCCCACAGTGGACATGCTGTAGAAGTGGTTTGTGGAGTGGGTAAATATGTATTACTTAAATAAAGGCACAATTTGAAAAAGGTTTATAATTGTGATAACAAAGATGAGATCATTCCTTTACTTTGTAAAACAACCTGAAAGGTTTTGGGGGCATCAGATCTAATTTTTAGATAAAATAGTGGCTAAGCAGGAACTTTTTTAAGTGATTCTTTTAATTATTTTTATTTTAATTGTTGTTCAAGTACAGTTTTCTGCTTTTTACTAAAGAAGAACTTTTATTTCCTGCTGTCTACGCTCAGGTTTTGTTTGAGATTTTTAAAGAAGATTTTATTTATTTATCTTTAAAGAGAGGGGAAGGGAGGGAGAAAGAGAGGGAGAGAAATATCAGTGTGTGGTTGCCTCTTGTATGCCCCCTACTGAGGACCTGGCCAGCAATCCAGGCATGTGCCCTGACTGGGAATCGAACTGGTGACCCTTTCTTTGCTTTACAAGCCACTGAGCCACACCAGCCAGGGCTGAGATTTGTATATATAGGTATATGTTGTTTTTATAATCAGAAAAGAAATAAAGGTGTTTGTTCCGTTCAAAATGAGAAGTGGCATTTTGGTGCTTTAAACCAGTGCTGTCCAGCACAGTGGCCACTAGTGACATGTGGCCAGGCCAGTAAGCACTTGAAATGTGGCTGGTGTGACCAAGGAATTCAATTTTTAATTTTATTCATTTTAGTTTAGTTAAATTCAAGTAGTTATAAGGGACTAGGGGCAATGGCATTGGACAGCGCAACTTTATACAACCAGTTTATAGTAATATATACAAACTCTTTTCCTATTCAATTGTGCATTCATCCTTTTATCCATCCTTCCATAAAAAGTTTATATGGTAGCTTTATGTTAAATTTTGCATACTTTCAATTTCTTTACATCATTTATATGGTATTTAGACTGTGATTATGGTTAAATATTTCCTGTACATAATAGACAAACCTAAAATGGGTTTTCTAAACAATGTCCTACACCTAAATAACCTACCTAAACTTGTCACAGTGGGAGGACCTGAAAATCAGCTCCTGAACAGCACATTAGGCACAGCATACTAGGGATGCTTATGATGATGATGATGATGATGATGAAGTCAATCAGTGAAGGGAAAAACTCACACCATTAATGTTAAGTGGAAAAGGAATGTCATAAACATCAGGTAGTAGGTTCTCAAATATGCTTTTAAAAATATGCATAGAAAAAGATGGAAACCATTTTCACTTAGATGTTGATAGTATTGCCTCGGCGGTAAAATATATATATATATATATATATATATATATATATATAATGAATATACATATATTCATTAAGGTATTTTCCAAAATTCTATAATAAACAAAAATAATAATAATTTTCCTTGTCTTTCTCTTTAATTTTCCTGTGCCTAGCTTCTCAGCATCTGTGGATGCTGACAGATAGTTACTTAGTTTGCCTTCTTCCAGAAGGGGCTTTGCTAACTTTTATGTGACTTCTTCTCATTTTTCCATATAATGAATCATTTTGTTGAATTTCTCTTTCTTTTTTTTTAACTTAATTTTTCCTCTTTTGTCCTCTTGCTTAGCCACACTGGGATTATCATCTACTGAGGTATGTTATAATAAATAGTGGTTTTGAAAATTTCCCTAGCCAAAAATAATGTATAGGGCTATGACTTTTTTGAAATGTAATTTTTGAAGATTTTTTTTTCTGGTGGTGGCAACAGCACATTTTAACTGAGCGAGTTCCATGTTTCATTGAGAGAATGCAAGTAAACCAGGTCTTAATTCAGATGGTGTACTCTTGAATCCAGTGCCTTTTAAAACTGGATCTCCAAAAGGGACCTCAAGAAAATGTGAGGTGCCTGACCTTGGACTGAGTCTCCCAAAACCCCTGGAAACAATTATAATGGAGTGTACATTGCCCCCACATGGGTGTGTCTTTGAGATTAGTAGCTGGCCACACACAGTGGCAGACACTTAATTTAGCTACATTGAAAGCTGAGAGGCTACTGTGAGCTTTAAGGCTGGATTAATGATTCAATTGTGCTGTTGTAGTGTGAAAGCAGCCACAGAGAACAGTAATGAATGAGCGAGGTTTTTGAACACAGGCTTTTCTGGTAGTGCTGAGCACAGTTACCTTTGACTGTGACTTTTCGGACACTCCTGTCTCTCTGGATTCCCACAGGATGAGGCTGAGGATCCCTGGTACCACAAAGCATGCAAGTGCGACTGCCAAGGAGGTGTCAATGCCCTGTGGTCTGTGGGCACCACCTCCTTAGACTGCATACCGGGTGAGTATCCCCTCTCCTTGTGGCACTAGACCCTTGGGGTGTCCTTAGGAATACCCTGTTTCTCCTTTCTTTCAGCCCAGCTGAATTAATGCCCCCAAATGCCAAGCTCTAGGTTTTCTCCAGGAGGCCTCTGAGCTTCAAATCTCACATGGCCACTGCTCCAGTAAAGTGTCCTGATGTCCTTGTTAAGAACAGCTTCCTGGAGCTCTGCTTGGCTTGGGTGACATGGTAAGATGGGTTGTAATGAAAGATATTAATGAATGAATAATTGAAAATAAATTAATGGTAGGTGGCAGGGAGTTTTGAGAAAGAGCTTTGGCGTTTGAGCCAGAAAGACCAGAATTGGAATCTGGGCTGCATCACTTTTTAAGTCTGGGACTCCCACTTTGGCCTTTTTCTGACCAGTGCAGGCAATACTACTGTGCATGGATAGCCATTGCTCACCAAACAACCACGTTCCCCCTCATTCCAGCTCCCTTTCAGTCGGGTGGCTTTATATGAGCAGTTCCTGCCAAAATGAGTGGTGTCCTTTCCGAAATGAGAGATTTAAGGCCCGCTGGTACTCAACTCTCCAGCTCTCCATTTTCCTGCTTGAGTAAGTGGCTTGTCCCTCAGCCTGGGTGCTGGGGAAATGCCATGGAGTAGAACCCCCTTCCCACCCACAATGGCCAAGTCACCTGAGTGAAAACTAAACCTTTGTTGTGGTAAGCCTATGAAATTTCTGGATGGCATGTTCTGCAGCATAATATGGCCTTGCCTGACCTGACTACTGTGAATGTCTGCCTTCCTCTAAGGCAGGGAGAAGCAAACTTTGTCTGTAAAGGACCAGACAATAAGAATTTGTGGCTTTCAGGATTATGCTTTCTCAACTCCTCAATTCTGCCATTGTGGCTCAAAAGGCAGCATGGACAATATGTAAATGCATGTGCCTGGCTGTGTGGCAATAAAACTTTATTTACAAAAATAGGCAGTGAGCCATATTTGGCCCATGGGCCACAGTGTGCTGACCCTTGGTCTAAGGAGTTGTTATGAGGAATAAATTGGATGAGGCTTTTAAAAGCATGTTGTGCTGCTCTAGCAAACTGGAGCTCCTTTTCCTCCTGCCTCCTAAGAACTCACACTCTGACTTTCAGAGGCTGGGGCGGCCTGCAAATATTTCCAATGCTCAGTCGTTTCCAGGCTCAGAGCCTCTTTGGCAAGAAACTGTCCTTGCCACCCCTCTCCAGGGTTACATAGTGCCAAGTAAAGTCATTCACTTTACATAATCGCTTAATAATAGCTCTGGGAGAGACAGGTTTGTGTGTGTGCCTGTGAGCTTCTCTTCATTATTTCATTAAATTTGCATTAAAATAGCTAATTGTCGGGGAGAGAAGGAGGGAGTCTACAATGGCTTTTATTGCCTCCGTCTTTCCTATTTACTGACGGAGTAGGAAGTCATTCTGAACTAAATCTCATGGAAGGGCACAGTGGGGTCCCCATAGTGAGGAGAGCAGTAAGTGCTGTTTAGTTCCATGGGCTTTTCCCACTGGACGGGAGCTCCTGCAGCCATTTATGTTGGTAGATCTGCCCAGTAAATAATGAAACACTCTCCTAATAATCCATTTAGAATTCCACCCTCTTTTATCACTTGCCTATTATGTGCCAGACTCTGATTGAGAGACAAAAATGAAGGCATTGTCTCCACCCTGAAGGAGTTCACCATTTAGTGAAAACAAATGTTCTCTTCACTAGAGATAGGAGGCCTAATGGAATTCCATCCCTAGGAAATTCTTTCTTAGAAAAAATGGAAAAGAGATTATTTATGTGCATTAGATTAATTGACCCAATCAACTGTGAAGCTGAAGAGGGCCTTCTGTTAGAGGAATGTAAAGAAGACCCTGGTCCCCCAAACTATCTCTCCTACACAGTTGCCATGAACTGGAACTTCTGAAATCAGAAAATTTTTAGCTTACCTGTTCTCTCCCCACTGGTTTTGTTTGATTGTTTTATTTTGTTTTTATAACAACACAGATATTCCAAAGAAGAAAAAAAAACACAACTTTAGGGTTAAATGGTTGATTCATTGGTGTTAATTGGTTTTTCCATGAAAGACATGATTCAGGGAAGCAGGACTAATCATAACCTTCCAGAAGTCACTTGCCCATCAGTGCCTCACATCCTTATTGGAACTTCAAGAATGATGGTCAGTGTCTGTGGTCCCTGTGATTCAAAGCTTCCTGCAGACTCTGATTTAGGAGGGAAAGAAGAGCCTAGAAAGCACAGAAAGACAGGAAGGTCATTCATAGCTCCCAAAAAGGAGCCCCCAGGTATACACCGGCTCTTACTACCTAAGGGCTCTACCCATAGAGCAGAAGGCTATGTGCATTATGGCCTCCTAATCTTCATCTTAACACTATTAAAATTACTAAAAGGTCTGTCTTCTCCACCTTTGAGCCAAGATTACCTTGGCACACTGAGAGTCAGGAATAGGGTAGGGAAGGCATCAAAGAATAAGAAATGCAATGACTCAATGCTTTACTTCTATTTCAGATTCTATATTTCTATATTATACTCAATTATATATTTTATTCTTCTGTAAATATTACAGAACATATTTAAGTCTAATATATGTACATAATACTCATGTCTTTCTTGATAAGATGGTCCCTGAACTGTCTTTATGTCCCTTTAGGTTAACATCTTTTGTAAGCATTTCTGGCCTACATGCCTAGAAATTGAGAAATTACTGAATAAGAAAGGCTAATAGGTTAAGTATCCATAGTCTGGATTAGGCACATTGTGAATATGTTTTTTTTCCATCTAATCATCAAATCATTGCTCAGAAGAGCCACTTGTGCCGTGGAAGATGCAGGTTTGTCCTTTAGAGTGAAACAAGCATAGACATGGGTCAGTGGGACTTCTCTGGGCCAGTCAACTTCTACTTCCTCCTTGAACTCACTGCTTCCTGATTCTGCCACTTTTTCTGCTCATCACCGGTGGCCACCCAAGAAGGGGTGATGTTTGTTCATGCATCCCTTCTTCATTAATCCATATGATCAACATCTATACAGTGCCTAGCATGTGCAGGCATTCTGCTGGGCTCACAGGATCGAATAGTGAGCAAGACAGATCAGGCTGCTGACAGTTACATAATCATAGGAGGAGGGCTAAATGGCAGGTGTAGGGTGCCTGGAAAGGCAGTGCCTGGAATCCTTTACCCAGCTCAGGGTGGGCAGGGAAAGTGGGCAGAGATCTGAAGGATGAGTAGAGGTGAAAGGGGAAAAGAAAGGTCAGGATTGTCACAGGAAGAAGGAACAGCCTCAAGAGAAGACCTCCTGTCCTGCATGAGGACCTGAAGGGAGCTCAGCCAGGACCATGGAAGGAGGAGGAAGAGCAGGGGAAAGGAGGAGTCAGGAAAAATAATAAAGAAACCCTAGTACAGTTCACTCCACAGCACTCAGAGCACAAGAGATGGTACATTTTCTTGTGCTCAAAGTTCAAAAACCCCCAGTTTGAGTCCTCCTTTGTCATGGCCTGTGAAGAGTCTAAAGACAGGCTTGTGGAAGGTCCTTCCTCTCCCTTTTGGACTACATTAACCCCCCCCCATGGGCTTGCAAGGGCTGCCTGGGACAGGGCCTAGACCCAGGCTGGGCGGTAGACTGGGTCTACCTAACCCACAGCCCTACTCCAAGGTCAATATCTATTTCCTCTCAAACAGATTCAGTCCTGGAGACCTTCCAAAGTTTCCTGGGGTGTCCAGAGCTCAGGGCTCCCAGGCCCCATCCCTGGTCCAGACTCATCAGAGGAATCTCATCAGAGGAACCACTTCCTTGCTGAGCTGATGCCCTTACCCTGAGCTCCCCTCCCCACCCCACACTCTGCCCACTCAGCAAGCATCAAAGTCCAGAGCCCCTGGCCACGTCCTCCTCTGGGACAATCAGCTGATTCCTTTTGAGGCCCAGACCTTCCAAATCCACAAGCCTGGGAGACACTATGTTGCCAACAGTCTTCTCTCTCAAGTCATACACACACACACAGATGCACACACTGCTTATTCCATCCTGGGGCAAGGAGAACCCAAACCTTTGGAAACATGAAGCTGGCTTCCTTTTCAAAGAGGCGATAGGGGCAGGACAGAGTGGAGTAGAGGGGTGTTAGATTTCTTCCCTAGTGACTGTTCAACAGAAAAGCAAACACGCAAAGCTCAAGAAGACATCAATAAATTCTCACAACTTCACCCCATTCTACCAATATGGGCTGCTGCTTTGGGGCCAGATATATAGGCCTTATGCTCTACAAATGTTATTTCATGTAATACCACAGCAACTTTATGGAGGCAAGTACTGCTGTTATGTTGTTTACACAGAGATGTTAAGCAGCTTGCCTAAACTCACACAGAGGGAGAGTAGGATTCAGTCCCAGCTTTCATTGGCTCTAAGCTGGCAATCTTGACCTTGGCTGCCCATTACAGTGACCTGAAGCTTTACCTCATGCCCAGGTCCTGCCCCAGACCAATGACATCAGAACCTCTGGGGGTGCAACCCGAACATTATTTCTGCAATTCTCCAGGTGCTGCCCAGGCTGGGACCCATCAGAGAGTCTCTGCTCTGTGCCCTGGACCAAACCACCAGGTTTCTGGATTAGCAGCTATGTAGCTGGAGGTATGAATGCCTGATACAGGAGCACTGGACAGGGGCAGGCTTGGGGCTTGGACACTGAAGGGCTCCGTTTTGGCTATACTGGTATAAAGCATCTTTGGATCATCCATATGGAAAACAGTCAGAGAGCCTGGGAGTCAGGCATTGGCTCCCAGATGCCTGCTGAAACCATGGAGATGGTGAGATCATCTCCTCTGGAGAGTGTGGGCAAGATCTACATTTGGACAAGCTCTCATGGGCTTCCAAGGCCATTGGCACTGGCCAGGTCCCTGCATATCTACAACCCACTCATTTTTTTTCATTGATTTGATAGAGGGAGAAAGAAAAAAAAACATTGATTCTTGTATGTGCCATGATGGGGTTGGGGGTGGATCAAACCTGCAACCATGTTGTATCAGAACAAAGCTCTAACCAACTGAGCTACCTGGCTAGGGCACACACCCACTCTTAACTGTTAGATGGGATAATTGGTAAAAGGCGAAAGATTTATACGATCTGAAGAGAAACCAGAGTATTGAATGGGATAATTGGGAAGAAGTGGAAAAAGATACATGAAGGGGAACAGAGAAAGATCAAAATGCCAAGAATAAAGTTCTTGGGAGAGGTGGTGATGGCTTTTCCTTCCTTTCTGTCTCCTTCCTCCAAGCTGGTGGCCCTGGAGCAAGAAAAGGGAGGTTCCAGATAGAGGGGACTTAGAGATATCCAGAGTTAAAATTTAAGTGACCACCAAGGCCCATCTGAAACCCAGTATTCTGACATTAGGGCCTTGCGTCTCTATCTGGTGACACAGGTTTGTCTTCTAGGTCAGAGGAGGGTGGAGGAGCCCCCAAGGCCATGGGCACTAGGCCCTCTGAATCCATCAGCCAACAAAATGCCTTCTCTGGTAGGCCAAGGTTTCCACAGTGAAAGTGTGTTTCTTAAAAACTGGCCACTCTGGGGGTGGAACCCTAGAAACTGAATTCTTAACATGCCCCCTTTGATGACTTGGCCACACAAGCCATGAATATGGAGCCCATAAAGCATTCACGTTCCCTCTCCCAGAAATGGACATTTTAATACATGCCCAAAGCATCGAGTACTTGATTAACTACAAATGCTATCCCCTCACTTCCAGCTTCACTCAACTATAGCTACTGGTGGGAGTCTGACCTGTTTTTTTTTTTTTTTTTGTGTGTGTGTGTGTGTGTGTGTGTGTGTGTGTGCATTGCATATAAAGGTGTTTAAGCTTCTCTGGCCACAGGTTGGAAGCTGTCTTTTGTCTTCAGTCTCTGGGGACAGAGTATGGCTGTCCCTGCAGGCATTCTGGAGGTGCAGGATGGCAATCAAGCTTTTGCATGTTTCATTTAGTTTTACTGAGTTCTGAAAATTATTCTCTACAAAGGCCTCAGCTTTCATTTTACTGTGGAAGTTGATAATGCCCCAGTAAATATATTCAGCTCTTCAATATGAAGCCAAATTTACATATGAAAAAATAATTTGATTTACCTTACTTGAAGTTTATCATTCACAATTAGAAAACTAGGAGAATGTATTTGTATAAGGTTATCACTTGTTTTCTATAGAAATTCAGGTAGAAACTGGGTTTGGTTGAAAATAAGAGGTCCCCTCAATAGTGGCTTATTGAATTAGCTTTGTTTTGACTAATGGTAAAAAGACTAGGGGTGGCAGATGTGCTTAACAATATCAGGGCCGAGATCTCTGTAGTTCTATTAGCCTTACCCACATGGTGCAAGATGGCTACTGCTGTGGGAGACATTAGGTCTTCCTTCTAGGCAAGAGTTAAAAAGAAGGGGCAAGCAAAACCTGATCGGATATCCTCAGCAGACATTCTCTTGTATCTCACTGGTCAGAAATTGTGTCATGTGACTTCTAACCACAAGAAAGGCTGGGAAAGATTGGTTTTTTAGCTGGCAACATCTGCTCCCAACAAAATTAGGGTTCTGTAGTCAAAAAGAAAAGGATAATGGATCCTGGGTTGGCAATTGGCACTCTCCGACCAGGTAAATGAACACTAAATGAGAGAGGAAATACATGAGAAGCAGCAGACAATTAACATCTAAGAACGAGCTTTAGCTATTATCATTTGGGAAAAGCAGTTCCTTTCAACTGTTCTTTATTCAACAGGCACATTTCACCTGTTTTTTTCTTCCTTTAGACTACTGAGAACACTGCAATTTACAAGTGGGAAGGCAGTCTCAATATATAATTACCCTTCTTACCTGTCACCATTGTTTTTTTCTGTATAATTGCCTTTATATGCTGCCCGAGGACAATTAAGGACCCTGATGTCATCATACAGGATGGCCAAATCTGTGTTAATGAGGAAAATAAAGAGTATGGCATTTAAGTGTGATCTCTCACTGCAAACCTCTTGGTTTTTAGGTCTCTATGTTTGCGGAGGAGGTGAACTATTTCTCAACCACCCCTTACAGCCATAGAACCACTTTCTCTGCTTTTACAAATGTCATGAGTCTCTATGACAATTCCTTTTCTTCATCCTCAAAGGGGAAGGTTTGATTTCTCATTTCTGTCATGTTGTGTTTGTTGGGTATTGTTATATAATATGAATGCTTCAATATGCATTGTTTTTCCTTTCCCAGAATGCCCCTATCACAAGCCCCTAGGTTTCGAGTCAGGAGAGGTTACACAAGACCAGATCACCTGCTCCAACCCTGAGCAGTATGTGGGCTGGTATTCGTCATGGACTGCCAACAAGGCCCGACTCAACAGTCAAGGCTTTGGGTAAGCAGGGCTGGTGGCTCAGATGATTTTATTTTCCATGTAATTTGAAAAAGTAGGTCTCTGTACTAAATGAGTAACACAGAATGCACTTAAGTTATTCAACAAACATTGATTGAATGCCTTCCACATGCCAAGGATTGTGGATACAGCACTAAATAAGGAGGGTAAGGCCCTGGTCTTTAAGAAGTACACACTTTAGAGGGGTAAAAGGATTCTAAAGCACATAATCACACAAGTAATCACTTTGTGTGATGTGTGCTGCAGAGGAGATGGAGAAGAAAGACCTGGTCCATTTGAAACACCAGGGAAGGGCTTTTCAAAGAAAAGATATGTAACCGGAGACTTATAGTTGGCCAGGGGAGGGGGGGCACAGGATACGGTAGATGCAAACGCCCTGAGTAGGAAAGACCCCTTAAGGGCATGGATGGGGACCGTAAAGATGGCCACTAAAGTTAGAGCACAGATGAGGTAAAGCTGAAGAGGCAAACAGAAGTCAGATCATGCAAGGCCTTTTAAGCCATACTAAGGATTGTGTTCCTCATTTTAGGGATTATGGGAGGCCCCTGAAAGTGCATTAGTTAGAATACAAGTTTGTGCTGCTGTAACAAAGAACCCCAAAGTATGGACACTTAAACAACATAGGGGTTTGTTTCCTGCTCATCTACACATTTCATTAGGTGTCTAGGGTTGTTACAGCAGCTGGATGCTATCAGGGGTCCAGACTCTACCTTGTTCTGTCATCCTTAACATGGAGCTTCCATCTTAGGTCTCCATAACTTGGGACCCAAGACGGCTGCTCTAGCTTCCACGGTCACATCCACATTCTAGTCAGTAGGGAGAAAAGGAGAGCAAACACACTTTTTCTTTAAGGATTCAGACATAATCCTTTCAGCCACTTCTGCCCATATCCCAATGACCAGGATTTAGTCTGATGGCCCCACCTGGCTGCAAGGAAGACTAGGAAATGTGATCTTAGCTGTGGCCATTTGCCCAGCTAAAACGCAGGAGTTCTATTACTAAAGGGAGATGGGAAGAGGCTACTGGGAGACAATTAGCAGACTCTGTCAGAGAAACACTTGAAGTTCGGGAATATTACAATCAGATTTGTGTTAAGAGAAAAATCCTCTGGATCCTGTGAGGAGAGCTGTTACATTCAGGACAAGAGTAATCCAGGGAGACTAGTTGGCAGTCCTGGCAACAATGCAGGGCTAGAGTGGTGGAAGCAAAATGGAGAGAAGTAGATGATTTTGAGATACACTTTGAGATGAAGCCCATAGATTGGTTGGCTGTTTAAGGCGACAGAATGGAAGGGCCCGAGGATGGCTCTCAGATTGCTGGCATGAAGACCTGGGAATACAGAGGTTGCATTCAGAGAGATGACTAGTGGAAGGAGGGGTTGGGGTAGAGATAATTCAGAACTCACTTTTGGACTTGTTTCATTTAGGATGATCTAAGGCATCTGGGAAAAGCTGGCTAGTTAGCAATTGATTCTTGGGATTTGAAATTTAGAACAGGCTTGGGATAAAAGTAGAAAGTCAGAGCTACCCAAGAAACAAGTCTGGAATTAGAAGAGAAAGCAGCCAAGAACTGAGTTCCAAGAAGCTAATTAATATGCAATAAAAGTGGGGGAGCTATAGGTTTCCACAATTTATGAGGGATGTAGCTAAATAACAAATCATTTCCATCACGGTTGGTTAGTATGTAATTGTCGAAAGCCCTCTCGGTGCCATTCAGCAGTGTTCTGCACATGGTAGACACTCCCTATAAGCCACGCATGACAGCACCTGAAGGAGATGCAGACACGTATGAAGAGAATGGAATTAAAGAAAAACAAAAGAAAGGTTCATGATGAAAGAAACATCAGGACAGACTAATGAAAAGGGAAGGGGCTGGTGGGCACAATAACTATTCATTAAAGAAAGACATGCTCAATCACGCCCCAAAGGTGATTTCGGCTACACTTGAAGGGATTTCTTTGACAAATTAATTGAACGTTACATTTTTTCCTCTGGTGCTGGAGATGCAGGGAGAGAGAAAATGGTGCAACTATCACAGAGGCTGGGCACTTGTTGGGGACTAGCCTCTGGGTGCTTCATGGATTGCAGCACAGCCCAAGATTAGCAGGGCCTCTTCAGGTGCTGGCATCCCCTCAAACAACAGAGCTTCCAGGCTCTCTGAGGCACTCAGGGGAAAAGGCTCCCAGTGATTTTGCGTCCCCCACAGGTGTGCCTGGCTCTCCAAGTTCCAGGACAGCAGCCAGTGGTTACAGATAGATCTGAAGGAGGTCAAGGTGATTTCGGGGATCCTCACCCAGGGTCGCTGTGACATTGATGAGTGGATGACCAAATACAGCGTGCAGTATAGGACCGATGAGAGCCTGAACTGGATTTACTATAAGGACCAGACTGGAAACAACCGGGTAAGTTTGGTGTACCCCAAACCACCTAAGCTCACACTCTGGGACTCTCCTCCTGCCATTGTCCCTATGTTCCTGTTTCCACCTTCTGTCAGAACACTGACACCAAGACAGCAGTCTTTCTCATTGTATCCTTGATGCCTAGCAGTTTGTTTGTGAATGAGTGCCACCCTTGTGTGCAAAAGAAATCTTTGTCTGAATTCTCATATCAGCATATAGTTGCTTAAACAATCAAAACCAGCCATTTGGACTATTCCAAACTCACTGAATCATTGAACACACTGCTGTATAGGTCTGACTTGATCTATTACTGACGCAGGTAGGTCCTGGTTCATTGATAAAGATATGGCCTCTTCTTACTATTGATCAAGACTGACAGCTGGGAAGCTCTTGACAACTGAGCAAGTTAGCCACTAAACTACAGAAATGTTTAAAATGACTCCAGCAGTGAAGACACAAATGGCCCTTAAACCTTTATAACGCAGTAATTTCTGAGCGCCAAGACCCAGCTCTTGTTCCCTATAGACTGGAAACAATAGGCTCTCTATCTAATCTGTATCTATCTATTTATATATCTATACCTATAGATATATACAAAAAGTTACAAACACACATAATGTAGATTTATGATGAAATTTACTAGCTCTTTGGAAATGTTAACTGCCCTTTCGCCTGTGAGGACGTCCTCCAGCTAATTTGGATACTTAAACAGGTTAAGTAGACACATACAGTGGAAAGCCTGAAGGCTTTGTACTGCTCTCTGATGGCAATTTATACAGCAAGACATTCATGGGTTGAGATTTTAAGGAGTTCCAACACAACAGATAAAACCAACTTGACACTCAGACATTTTATTCTATTTTTGTTCTTATTGGCTTTAAAAAAATATGGCAATTCTTTTCAAGCACTGTGTTTGTGAAGGTCTTGACGGTTCTTTGCAAAGAAGCACTACACTCAGGCACTTGTACAATGTGGCAGAGCCTATTCTATCCTCCCTCTTCACCTGGCTCCTGACTTGAATAGGTTCAAGGGCAAACAGCTTAGATAAAGGGATGTGGGGTGTTGTTACTGGGATGAAAGGTAAGATCATGGGTGGGTGAGGCCCGTGTGGCAGTCAGATGTCTTGAAGGTAATACCAGAAAGGAATGAAATGTTCTGGTGTCATTGGGCAGAGCATTATGATTCTAGAAAGAATGAAAAGAATGATTTCTTTGGAAATACAGCCAAACACCCACTGCACCTTTTGTTTCACCTACTGAATCATGCCATCTTATATCCTGAAAACAACAAAACAAGCCCTTGTTTGATCTTCTCTGGACACTGCCCTCCTCCTTTGAGAACCTTCCTTGTACTTTGTCTTTTTCTTTTAAAAAACATTTCCAAGTGTAAAAAGTACTTGCCATTTACATCAATGTAGAGACACACCATTAAGCTTTCGCTTACAACTGTAGAACTAACTCACAAGTTTTTACCTGAGCCTCACTTTGGATACCTTTGGAACATGAGAGCATTCCTTTTGTGTGATGTGATCATTTCCAAAATTCTTCAAAATCCATAGAATTAAAACACAAAATTGGTGATAAGAATCAAAAGGCATTTAAAAAAAAATCAGTGCCATCCAAAAGAACTGCCTGCAATGATGGAAGTGTTATCTGCAGTGTCCAATGTGGCAGCCACTCCACTAATCACTTCGACCATACCTGGCTAGTGTGACTGAGGAAGTGAAAAGTCATTTAAATTTAAATAGCCACATGTAGTTATTAGCTACCATACTAGACAATGCAGTTCCAGATGTCCCCAGACTCAGGGAGGCCTGGAGGGCATAGGTGGTAACAACCACTCAAGGTGGGGCATCAGCAAATTCTCTGTAGTTTAAACACTTAATGAGATTTTCCAGTTAGAAGTTGGGGCCAGCTCCAGACAAGAATCATACTTCCTTTTCCTATCCCTAGTGTGACAGTGACAGGCTTTCACCATTCTCTTTAGGTCTTCTATGGAAACTCAGACAGAACCTCCACAGTCCAGAACCTGCTGCGGCCCCCCATCATTTCCCGCTTCATCCGACTGATCCCGCTGGGCTGGCATGTCCGCATTGCCATCCGGATGGAGCTGCTGGAGTGTGTCAGCAAGTGCACCTGATGCCTGCACAGCTCAGCTCCTGCCATGGATGGAGGGTGCAGAGTAGCCCGCAGGGCAGGGGCTGGGGGACCCTGACACACCACCCTGACAAATGGGGGCTACATTTTACAAGCTCTCTTCAATGCAGAGCTGGGTAGAGAATATTTCTTTCTTTCTGCTTTTTAAGATTTGGTTTCCAATTTCAATGGAAAAAAGAAAACAAAAATGAACATATTCCCCACTCAGGGCCAAAGAAAATAAGAACAAAGAAAATGTCCCTAAAAACAACTTTCACACAAAAGCTTGTTAGCAGGGGTAATTTGCTGCTGTTTTCTTTTCTTTTTTCTCTTTTTTTTTTGGTAATGGTGACACTGTAAAAGGCGCAGTCCCAGAGGAACACAAAGCAGCCCTGATAAATTCTTTTGCTTTACTATATTCAAAACACGAACATAATATTTCATAAAGCATGGCTTTGAATGCAAAGGGGGAGCAAGCTTGCAGTTTCTCTTAGCTAAGTTTTCATTAAATCATGGCCATTTAGGACTGTAGATCACCAGGTACACAGAGTGAAAGGTTTCAGGGTGATTGGGTGGCGGAGATGAGTACAGTGGATGTGAGCCCATGTCCCTTTCTCTCGAGAGCCACAGATGACCAAAGACCCCAGGTGGGAGGGCCTTACCTGCTGAGCTTTTATCCCTATGTTCACAGAGATTGGGGGGTTCCAGAGCTCTCCTTACATATGGCTCCATGCTATGACCCATTAAGGCTAATTATCCTAGGCTATGGTCACTATTTAGGTGAATTTACAGGACAGTCTACACAAGTAACTAGCAAAATTTTCCTGTATTTAGGAACTCCAAATGACCAGAACACACCAGAATATCCATTTATCTATGTCTAGTTTTCCACAAGCTTAACACTTTCAAAACAGTTGGCACAAGAGGTATCACTGACTATGTGGAGGAGGCCCATCAGCTTTGTATGAAGTGGTTAGGACCTACGTCCTAAGGGAGGTGTGGCTGCACCCCTGGTGAGCCCACCTTCCAACTTCTGCCGCCTTCCTTGAAGCACGCAAACCTGCCTATTCCTAATGCTGCAACCTCCTTGGGAAGGAACAGGCCAGGGACAGGCCTGGCCTTCCTTTCCCTCCTGGAGAAGCTCATTAGGCAGGGAACTTGGGGGACAACAGTCTAAGTTTTCCTTGTCATTTATATAGCTCAGCCTGAGTTTTCAGGTCCTTCCTAGGGAACAGCTAATGACACAGTGTGTGGGCAGCAGAGGATTTGAAAGTAGAAACTGAGAGGGGGTGGAATCAGAGGATAGGGACCCTCCAACAAGACTACAGATAATCCTGGCCCAGATGCACTGCAGCCCATTTCTCTGAGTTACTGTTTTCAAATTCCAAGCCAAGTGATTGGGCATCACATTCACCTTGTCTGTGAGTGGGCAGCCTCCCCAAATCTCTTCCCTGGTGTCATTAGGCTTAGTAGAACAACTTCATATTTAACCCAGCCTCTTTCTATTCTCCATGCTGTATACTTGAACCTGGAAAAGTGCTTTTCCTTGTGCTATCTTCTCTCAAATATAAACAAATCAATTCAGGGTGGGGGAAAAATCCTCATTTGGTCTTAGAATACATGGACAAAGAAATTTTGAAAAGAATGCTGGATTGGACACCCTGAGAAGGAAAGTTGAATGAACTTTTATCATGATGTGTATTGTCAGAGAAAAGCCTAAGAGTTCAGGTTCTCTACAATTCCTACCTGTACTCCAGGTACAGGAGGAAAGGCAAATTAAGGGACAAAAAGAATAAAATAGTAAGAGAAAGAGAAAAAATTATTTTCTAAATAATTGTTCATGTTGGAAATTTTTGTTTGGTAACAAACAGCTTTACTGAGAGAGAGTTCACATACCATACAAATATAACCCATTTAAACCATACAATTCAATGACTTCTAGTATATTCAGAATTGAGCAATCATTATCACAATTGATTTTTTAAAAATTTCGTCACCCCCAAAAGAAACCCCACATCTATTAACTATCACTGGCCTCCGCAACCCACTTGTCAGTCCCAGCCTTACGCAACCACTGATCTATTTCTGTATCTGTAGCCTGTTCTGGACATTTCTTATAAATGGAATCATAAACAATACGTGGTCTTTTCTGTCTGGATTCTTTCGCTTAGCAGTGTTTCGAGGTTCATTCATGTTGTAGCAGGTATCAATACTTCATTCCTTTTTATGGCAGACTATCATTCCATTGTATGGATAGACCACGTTATACTATCCATTCATTCGTTGATAGACGTGTGGATTATTTCCGTGTTTTTGGCTATTACAAATAATGTTGCTATGAACAAGTGTGCATAACCTTTGGTACAGATATTTTTCTCATTTATCTTGGGTATATACCTAGGAGGTAAATTGCTGGGTCACATGGTAAGTCTGTTTTAACTTTTGAGGAACTGTCAGACAATTTTCCAAAGTGGCTCTACCATTTTACACTCACACCAGCAGTCTAGTAGGATTCTCATTTCTCTAAACTTACTATATTTTTTATGATAGCCATTCTGGGGTGTATGAAGTAGTATCTCATTGTGGTTTTGATTTGCATTTCCCCATGATTAATGATGCTAAGCATCTTTTCATGTATTTACTGGCCCTTTGTATACTTCTTTGGAAAAATGTCTATTTAGATCCTTTGCCCATTTTAAAATTAGGCTTTTTATTATTGAGTTGTAAGAGTTCTTTATTTTAGATACAATTCCCTTATCAGACATAGCATCCGCAAATATTTTCTCTTATTCCATGGGTTATCTTTTTACTTTCTTGACAGAGTCCTTTGAAACACACATTTTAAATTTTTGATGAGGTTCAATATTTTTTCTCTTCTGTTGCTGTGCTTTTGGTGTCATATCTGAGAAACCACTGCCAAATCCACATCATAAAGATTTACTCCTATGTTTTCTCCCAAGAGTTTTATAGTTTTAGCTCCTACATTTTGATCTGTGATCCATTTTGAGTTAATTTTTATATATGGTATGAGATAGGGGTCCAACTTCATTCTTTACATGTGAATATTCAGTTTTCCCAGCATCATTTGTTGAAAAAACTATTCTTGTCTCATTGAATGGCCTTGGCATCCTTACCGAAAAAAAATCAACTGATATAAAGATGAAAGTTTGTTTCTAGACACTCAATCTGTTCCATTGATCTATATGTCTATCCTTATGTCAACACCACACTGTTTTAATTATTGTAGCTTTGTAGTAAGTTTTGAAATTAGAACACGTGACTCCTTCAACTTTGTTCTTCTTCAAGATTGTTACGGCTATTCTGGGTCCCTTGAATTTCCATATAAATTTTAGAATCAACTTGTCAATTTTTGCAAAGAAGCCAGCTGAGATTTCACACTGGAAATTACTTAGTACTTCAGAATTTAATGAACAATGAGATACTGAAATCCAAATGTTTATCTGCGGGTAATTTGTTTCCATCAGCATATGAATTTTTTTACTTCATTGAATTCATGACAGAATGTATAAAAAATGAAACTTTCACTGAGGAACATCTAAAACCTAACAGAATTTTGCTATTAAACACATGAACTATGTTTGTAGTATTCTTTCTTTTGTGGGGGAACTTTCGATTAAAAAATACATATGGACAACAGTGTGGTGATTTCTGGGGGTGGGTATAGGGGACTAAATGGTAATAAAAATACACAATAAAAACTAAATTAAAAAAACAATAAAAATATATATAGTATAGCAAGAACTCATTCTGTTACCTTATGTTAACATGTTTACTTTTATTTTCAGAAATGCTAGAGTGTGGCCTGCACTTAGAGATTTTTTTAACTGTGGTAAAAAAAACACATAACATATTGCCGGAGATTTTAAAGCAACTAAATAAAATGCTATGAACAAAAAAGAAAACGTAGCAGTAAGTGTTGCCAAGATAAAGAAAAAAGTCTGAGCTGATTTTGGTATTAAGTGTGGGAGGAGGTTACTTGGACAAAGCAAAGGTATTTCAAAATAAAGATGCCACTACGAATCTAGTCCTGGAACCCAGAAGATTGCACATTTAAAGTGAACCTTTGCGCAGACGCTGCCAGGAGCCCATCTTTTTGCCTACCTGGAATGCGATTGCTAAGGCCTGCCTACGAATGTATAGCTGGCTGTAAGGGCTGTTGCTTCCCCTGTGACCCAAGAGTAGCTCCAAGCTATAAGTAACTTCAAATTACAATGGTTCTTAACCTGGACAATTTTACAAGGTAGATGTGAAGATCAAATAGAATAAATATATCTAATGTACTTAATGAACTCTCTCTCCATTACTGGCAGTCAAGATTCACTGACATTCCTTTTCAACTTCATAGGGCTGCCAATTCGGTCATGAATACTAGCAATAATGTTGTAATAGCTAGTATTTATTGAGAGTCTACCAAGTGCTTTGAAGGTTATCATCTCATCGAATCCTCACAACCACCTTGTAAGGTAGGTACCATTATGATTATTTCTATTCAAAGATAAGGTAACAGGCACAGGAAACTTAAATAACTTGCCTAAAGCCACACAAGATGTAGGATTCCACTCAGGCAATTTGACTCCACATCCTGGCTTTTAACCACTTCAGACTTCACCAGTCTCTGGACCTCTAGTGACTTATTTCAGTGAAATGTTCTGTTCTCAAATTAAATCAATTACCAGCTGCTGGGAGATGGGAGGAAAGGTGGTACACAAATCACCTATGTATGAATCCCATGTCAGTTTCTACACATGGAAACACTGTTTAGTAGTGTTGAAGGGCAGGCTTTGCAGTGAACATACTCAGCTCCAAATCCTAGCTAGCTACCTCAGGCAAGTTAATGTAAAGTCCACAGGCCTCAGTTTTGTCATCTATGAAATGGGGATACAACCCATTTCATTGTGCTGTTGTGAAAAGTAAATGTAACTAACAATAGAAGTAAACAATAAATAGAAGTAACAATAAAAGTAACAATAGAAGCATTGTATC